ACAAAGATAAAAAATATTGGTCCAAAAGGAATTATATTTTTATTATCGAGAATTAGGCCATCACAACAGAGGTTGTTCAAAAAGTCAAAATTCAAGCACCAGCAACACAAGGTAGGTTCATAGTCTCAAAACTCACTAAGTCCATAATGAGACATAGGATGAAAATTGAACTCCCTAGTAAAGGCGCCAGAGGTTAGTACTAGGGATAGCTATTTTCTCTATGTGACAAATTGTATGACCTTTGATAGCTAATAAAAGAATCAATTGGTGCATCTAATAGACTATTAAGAGGACAACCATGTCCAGTGCTTTTAGATTGTGGTTCTATAAAAAATTATATCTCAACCAAAATTATTGACCAACTTGGAATTAAAACTAAGGCAATCAAAGAAAGAAGTATATACCTTTCAGATGAATGAAAAAATGTATTGAGTGAAACATATGAAGAAGAAATCTTAAAGTTGACTGACATCTAAGTCTTAAGAGAGAGATTCAAAGTGACAAAATTAAGATATGATGTTATCCTTGGTATACCATAGCTAGAGATAGGAAATAAGTAAGATGATTGGATAGCAAGGACAACCTCTTTTAAAGATAGTGGATGTAAGGTGACTCTTTGTACCTTTGTATTAAGTGAAGATGAAAGACAATCTACAACCAAAGACTTATTTATAAAGACAATCTTTATAAAGAAATAAATATAATATAAGTAATCAATATATATGGTGGTTCCAAATCTTGCATCAATAGTAGACAAGAGAGCCAAAGGAGCAGAAGAAGTAGAATAATTTATATTAGAATATTATGATGTCTTTCCAACCGACCTATCTATTGGCGTGCTTCTTAATAAAGGTGCCCCCTTTTAAATAGAATTATTGCCTAGAATCAAATAGAATCAAATAGAACTTTTGTCACATGTTTGGATCCATCTAATCTTTCATATTTAGCAACTAAAAGATATTCATATTAAGCCAAAGGACTTTTTGGATTGACACCAATGACTACCACCACCAATTGTAGTTGATGATCAATAAGAATATAAAGTAGATAGCATTTTGAAGCATTGATACCTTTATCATGGCAGTGGCAGTGGATGTCTACAACTTTACTACAAAGTACTTTTGAAAGATTATTCCATTCACAGTGCAATGTGAAAACCTATACAAAACCTCACTCATTGCCAAGAAACAAATTGTAGATACCAACGGGAGCAAAATGAGGACGTTTTGTATTAGTGGAAGGGAATTAAGTGTAACAAGGTATAGATAAGATATTTGTGTAGGGATAGATAGTTAGCACTATAGAAGTTTTTAGAATTAGTAGACCATGTAGGATCTATCATAGAATATTCTAAAAAGAATTTAGGGTGGTTATTTAGATAGGGTCTATCATAGAACCTTCTAAAAAGAATCTAAGGTGGTTACCTAAATGGGATCTACTACCTAAGAACATTCTAGAAAGTCCAAGGTGGTAAAACAAAGTATAAATAAGAATGGCTAGGGCCTTTTGGAGTATATAGTTACATATGGCTTTGGACCTTTTCTCTTAATACAATTGGATTTTATATCTTTTTGTTTTATTTTGTTTTTTTCTAATTCTTGCTGCTCAATTTTGTTTTTAGTGTTCAATTTTGTTTAATTTTGTTCAGTTTTATTTTGATCTATTTTGTCCTACTTTGTGATGAGATTTTATGTTGATGTGGATTAGAAGGATCTTGGATACTTAAAATAGATTGGTCTTATTTCACAAAGGCTAGAAAACTAGAGACTCTTAAAATTAGACTAAAAACAAAAAAACTTTGACAAGAAAGAATAAAATACTCACTCTTGCCTCTATATATACTATCTATCTAAAAGCTACGTGACAACATTCTATAGGACCTATAACACATATCTAATTTACAAGACTCATGTTTAACTTGTAAGACAAATTTCTTATAAATTATCATGGACATACATATTTATCATGATAATTATCTAGATAATAAGAATAGATAGAAGTAAGTCAAGGTAAATAAATATAATAATATCTTGTTGAAAGCTTTCTAAAAACTTCATAGATGCTAGTTTTCTTTAATACATGTTTATAGGTGTGTCATGGACATACTCATATAAACTAGTAATTACATATATAAATAGGTAGAAGTAAGTAAAAATAGATAAAAGTAAGTTAATTCTATAGTATTTGATATGGAAGCTTTTTAGAAGCTTTATAGAAATTACTTTGACTTTATAGGTGTCTTTAATTGACTTTTTGGATTAGAAATGTGGTCAACAAGTTGGCCATGTGCCACACATGTTGTTAGCTTGAAGACCAAACTAACTATGTTGCCCACACATAGAAAAACTTGCCTTGTAAGTCAAGGCATGTGTCCTACAAAGTCAATACTTATTGGAGGTTCTATAGAACGTCGCCACGTAGCCCCTAGTTAGATAGTATATATAGAGACAAGAGTGAAGCCTTCTTCACTCTTGTCAACTCCTTTCTTGCTTCTAGTCTAGTTTCAAGGGTCTCTAGTTTTCTTGTCTTTTGACAATAGCCATTCCAATTTCTCTTTAAATATACATACTTGTTTATTTATATTTTGTTACCTTTCTTTGAATGAAGGCTCACTTGACTGAATTATTTTTTCATCGAGTTCTTATCCTCAACAAGGTGATTGATAGGTTGAAAACTTGGCCAATAAAGAGGCCATGTGTCGACATGTTGTCCACTTATAGTACAAGTTGGAAATATGGCGCACACCTAGGAAACTTGCCTTGCAAATTAGACAGGTGTCTTGTAAGTTGGATGCATATTAGAGGTCCTATAGCATGTCGCCACATATTCGTTAGTTAAGTAGTATATGTAGAGGCAAGAGTGAGGCCTTCTTCACTCTTATCAACTCCTTTCTTGCTTTTTAGTCTAGTTTAAGAGTCTTATGTTTTCTAGTCTTTGGCAATAGTCATTCTAGTTCCTTGAATATACATACTTTCTTCTATTTTATCAATTTTTTTCTGATATAGATTCCATGACTTCATGCATTTTCTTTGAGTTTGTGTCCTTGACATAAATGCACCACATCATTAGCTTGTATTATAAGCTACCAATACGTGTGACATGTGGCTAACTTATTAACCAAGTTTATAATCTATCAATTACTTATAAGCATATATAAAGGTGAAACCATGTCTATAAAGCTTCTAGAAAGCTTTTTTAAGAGATATTATCAGATTAACCTACTTTTATCTATTTTTATTTACTTCTATCTATTCATATTATTTAAGTAATTATAAGTATATTTATGAAAGAGTGTATATTTGAAATTTATGTGATCAAAGAACTATTTCTTTAAGGTATCAAAAAGGGTGTTGTATTCTATCTATGCTTTGGCATGTTTCAACTTCATGTGCACCATGATGTTGTCAATATGGAAAAGAATTATAAAAAATTTCATATTTCCTATCTACTTCTATTTATGCCCTATGAGATCAATTTCTTCACAATTGAGCTTCTTACAAAAAAAAGTATCACATAGAGATTACTTGATTTCTGTTCTCATCTTGTAGGTTTGGCAAGAGGCCAAACTTTGCCTCTACAATGGATTTCTAAGAGGTCTATAGCTCTTTCACCATGGTAAATTTGATGTGCATACTTTGACGTGATTGTTGTGACTACAGATTGCGTAATGAGGCACCTTACCTATTGTGCAAAGGAATACCATTGAGCCCTTATTTTAGGACATTTTTTAAACCTTATTCTAGGAAAATTAGAGGTTTTTTTGCAAAAAGACCTAATTTAAAGTGGCTTCATGTTGAATCTTGTTATTAGTAACTTTTGTAAATTTAAAAATTACCAAAGTAGTGGTAATAGTTGTTTAAAAATGTCTTATTATAAATTTTCACTTGTTTAATCATAATATATATTTTTAAAAATTATAGACTATTTTAGCAAAATTTATTAATAAAAAAACTATCATAAATTTTTATTTTATTTATTTTTCGAAAAATGCTCAATATATAATGAATTATCAAGAATTATGATATTGAATTAAGATGAAAAATAAAAGTTGTTATTAATAAATATTTACATATAAAAATAAAAATCCTATTTGAAATTTGACACAATGTACTACTTCAAAATGTATGCTAAAATCAAATATGCAAATCAAGCTTTAAAATTAATTCTTAAAAAATAATAGGTTTTATTTTATTTCTTTTATTTCATTTCTTTTAAATAAGAATAGGAAATATTCAATCCATTAATAGAGTGGAAAAAAATACAACATACTATTTAACTTTTTATACTCAGAGGTTAAATTAAGCTTAAAAGGGACATAAAATAGGTGTTAAATTGATCTCATTTACAATTTTGTGAATAATCACACCACACCAAGGTACTCTTAAATTTCATGCAATTACTTGGTTGGTTCTAGAATCTAGTATATGTTTAGCCATTCATGAGTTATTCCATCTCTTAAACAGGAAACATGCATATTGCAAGTTTTTTTCTAAATTCTTTTTGTGAATTTCCAATATGTGGAATTTAAATCATAATATTTTAATTTAACTCAATGATTGGACAATTCCTTTCTAGAATTTTTTTAATATTCAATTTTACAACATCATTACAAAATATATTTAAAAATCACATCAATAGGAAGTGAAGGATATTCTTCATAAACAATAAATTTCATAACTGAATTTATATCAAAATGTAAGATGGTTCCAAATTATGTCACATTAAGTATATACACTAACCATTTCATTAAGATCAACACACAATTAAAATACCAGGAATACGTGAAACTTAGAAAGGGCAACTCTTGACTTAAGCTTTATGTTCACATGGTCTTATGGTCTTATGGTCTTTCATTATCTGTGGTTTTTATCTGGAATACACAAGTGCATTGAAGGGCATCTGAAAAAACATATTTCATGAAACTTAAAAGTATATGAAAAAGTAAACCGTAATAAGAAAAGCCGATCAGATTTGTGTTTTCTAAACTTGGCCCCATGTGCTCCCCCATCGCTGGTGCTACCTTGTCGGAGCATCGGAGCTGTGAATTCCTCGCGTGGTAGACAAAACCAAATTTTGACGAAAAAGGCATATGCTCCATTTCGACGACGTCGGAGCTCTAGCGATGCACAGCAAGTTGTCGCCAAGATCGACAACTTTCACACGTATCTGCGGGGGAAGGAGAAGAGAGGAGAATTGTGGTCGTGGTAGCTATGGCGGACGCAGATTCAGCTCCTCGCAAATCGCCCCACCTGTATAGCATTATCATTCCCACTTACAATGAGTGCCTCAACATCGCGCTCATCTGCTACCTCCTTTTCAAACACTTGAAGTGAGTATTTGTTTTGTCTTGTTTGGGTTGGTTTGGTTTGGTTTTCTTTTTTCTCCCTCATCTTTTTCTTCGCTTTTCTGCTGTCACGCTGTTGCAGCGTTCGTTTGTTAGAGCTTTGAAACCACGGCGTAGGGTTGTTAAGATCGGTTTTGTTAAGATCGAGATCTTACTGTGTTATGTTGCGGTTAGGGTTTCTTAGATCAGGGTTATTAGTTGTTTGTTGTCTCAGCTTGTTGACATTTTGAGGCTTTTCGGAGTGATAAGTAACGTCTGCATTTGAAATATCGAGTTCAATTGTTTTTTTTTGAGTAATTAAAATTCGCTAATAAATCCATTCTTGTTACAGGATGTGGTGGTAAGTAAGTAGTTTACTTTTGTTTTGTGTCCACAGGGATTACAATTTTGAAATTATTATTGTTGACGACGCAAGCCCAGACGGAACGCAAGACACAGTGAAGAAGTTGCAAACTATTTATGGCGAAGACAAGATTGTAAGTTAAAGTTGATATCTGAATATTCATGTGGATATGGGTGAGATTTTTTGTCGATTTTTTCGTTTAGTCGTATGGATTTTTCCTACTGTATATGGCACGTTTGTTATGACTGTAATTTATTTACTACTTTGTCTGTCTCTGTGCAGTTGCTGAGGCCTCGAGCTGCAAAATTGGGATTAGGTAAGATTCTCACTCAGTCTATCCTAGTCTTATTTATGAAGGCTAAATCATTGAAATGCATGATGGATGAACTGATTTCTCTGTTTGAACCACTTCACAGTGCATTTTGTATCTGAACATCTGAGGATAATTTGATTTTGACTATTCCATGGTAATGCAATAAGTTTGTGTTCGATTTTGTGCACAATGGATTGGTTTTGAAAGTCCCCTCAATGCAAGATCTGGTGGAATGCTGTCTGATAAAGATTATTTTCTGTTTTCAGGGACTGCTTATGTTCACGGGCTGAAATATGTATCCGGTGACTTCGTCATTATTTTGGATGCTGATCTTTCCCATCATGTAAGGTCTGGATATTCTGTGGTCATTTTCATTGGAACTTGGTCTTGTTTATCATCATGGAATACTGGCAGAAAGGTCGATATGATACCACTGAAAATCATGTTGTGTTAGCGAAGTTAACCAGTGTTAGTATGTAAATATTTTGATATTAGTTGTCACCAGATAGCCAGCCACACTTGGATGTCTTTGAAACATGATCTGTGCTGATTTCCCATGAATGTGTTGAAACGTGTTTTGCAGCCCAAGTATTTGCCAAATTTCATCAGGTACAAACTCACACTGAGCTGCAGAAATAGCATTATCCTTGAAAGTTGTGTCTATTTTGCACACACAGATATGTGTATATATATATATATATATATATAGACATATATGCATTACAAGTTTCGTTGAAGTTAGCTTTTTAGTTGTCTTTGAACTTAAAATGGCATTCTTAAATTTAAATCGTAGTATTTAGCAAGTTAAGCTGGGATTGGACAGGAAACAACTGGAGACGGATGCAGATATTGTCACAGGCACTCGTTATGTGAACGGAGGTGGTGTTCATGGTTGGGATTTGCGGCGGAAGTTAACGAGCCGAGGAGCTAACGTTTTAGCCCATACCTTGTTGTGGCCTCGTGTATCTGATTTGACTGGCTCTTTCAGGTAAAAGATTGTAGCTATGCCTTACCTATGAAAAGGACGTGCAATTGTTCAACTTCCCTTGTTAAGGTTCTAAAGTAGAGCTTGTTGGACCAAGATGAATAGGACTGATTGGATGCGTGCACTTTCAATGCGTTTAGTGCGGGTTTTATTGTTATGGTTTGGCATGAGTTCATAGCATGTCCTTTGACAGGCTTTACAAAAAGAAAGTACTTGAGGAGGTCGTACAGACATGCGTGAGCAAGGGTTATGTATTTCAAATGGAAATCATTGTACGAGCCACCCGGATGGGATGCCGTATTGAGGAGGTTTGATTTGCATCGCTCTTTGGCATTCTCATAAGATCTACCAGTTTTAGGCCAGGAAGTTTCAACCTCATAAACAGATAGTCCGAATGTTGAGCATCTGTCATTTTGGCGTAATTTCTTGATGTGAGTTGGTCTTTTTTAGGCATGAAATATTGCTGTGCCTGGAATGACTTCTAGAGTTTTGAGTGATTTCCATTTTCTCGCAGGTTCCTATCACATTCGTTGACAGGGTTTATGGAATCTCGAAGCTTGGAGGAACCGAAATCGTGCAGTATTTGAAGGGGTTATTTTGGCTTTTCCTAACAACCTAGACACCCTCAGTAGATGCATATCTTGTAGAGAATCATTAACCCACAGTTTCAATATGTTCTAGCAACACAGTATATGGTTGATGCACAAGCAATGTGCAAAGCCAGAAAGTAACTACTGGAAAGAGTCAGTGCTGTGCAGAACGTCATATTGATATGTAGTCCCTCGATTTTGTATCTATATCTGGATCTATGTAAGTTGCACCTATCAAGAAACACAACCACATTTTTGTTTATGGGCATACGCGAACCTCTTCATTGTATGTTTCTCGAAATGGGTGTTTCATGTAATGTTATCGTTCAGATCTAGGATTTTGTGTAGCCAATAGTTGAGACTGTAGATTTCGACAAGGACGAACAATTCGTTGGAAACCTATGGCAATAATTTGATGATTTTCTCTATGCTATGATTCTCTAAAAGTACATACAAGTAGCTCCCTGAGAAGTGAAAGCACTATTTCCTGCATTTGGGCACAGTTTCTTGGGATAATATACCTGTGTTCACTTGGCGTGGGCATGCATGGATCCAATTTTCTTGATATCACGTTGCACCTGAACTTCTATCAACAATTTTAGATCAATTGGGGACCAGTTTGGCAGTTGTACTTATCATGTATTCTCCACGCCATGCCAGATTTCTTCCAGAGTACGAGTTTCCAACACCAGGAAGTGAAGGATGTCTGGAGGCTGCTTTTCACTTCTACGTACACGGCTACTTTTAACCGGAGTTAGGGTCGATTTTATACCGATTGATGTCCAAAGTTTATTCTGTTTTCGGGGTGAGAAGATGGGGTTAGTCCTGGAACTTTGCATCGAGTCGTATTTGAACTCTAAAAACTGTACATTAATGAACCTCAGCCAAGATTTGACGTGGTCCGAAGGCCAGACTGCAATTCGGATACATTTAAGACAAGGTTCGACATTGTCCAAATGTTGGCTGCGTTGGGCGGTGATTTGGTAATTCAAAATCTTCAAGAGAGTTCAATACAACACAACATTGCTCTTGTTTAGAAGCAATGGACGCATTCATGCTCTTTTTTTATTGGTCAAATGGAATATATGGAACTTTACTCCTTTTTCTCTTAAGAACTGATTGCAATTTCCTACTCTCAAGCACAGTTGTTAGTAGACAACACGCAAACTACAGTGCAGTATTTCGAAGGAATATGAATAATTGGTGAGTAAAATCAGACGTCAAGGTTGCTTCATCGCAGCCTTGCATAACTCATCTTTGAAGACCTGCAAGATGAGAGCACTGCGCGATTGTTCATCTTGTAGGCGAAAATCATTCTCGGTTATGAGTAAGAACAGAGACTGTATAACTGAATGTTGTAAGCAACTGGTACTCGCAAACTATAGACCGATGAATGAACGCTTTTCAACTCTCTTCCTGAACATCTCTAAATAATACAATTTTAAGCGTATTACCTGCTACGATATACTATTTTACCTACCCGGTAAGAAATTTACTTGGAACTGGAGGATGCTGTGCACACTGCCTGAGTTTATAACTCAACTTGTCGGCCATGCTGAAGTAGCTGCAACTGACCTAACACTTTACATGAAGAGCTCGCTGATAGGTGATCTGTCCATAGCTGCTTGAGCTGCTCTTGCGTTCGTTTCAATCTTAGGGTCGATATGAGGCAAATATGGAATCTGGAGCGGGAAAAAGATACGGTAAGACGCTGGATGCTACGCGAATATTTTTAGCATGAGCAATCTGGGTCCTATTAAATGTTCACCCTTTCACAGCGCAAGCTTTTCATGTCCGACCAATGAACTGTAGCACAAACCAACAAACAGTAGAGAATTTTGAGAACAGTCGATGGGGTAAAATTCAACCTGTGAAACAAGGTCCAGAGTTTTGCGCAGAAGGCGGGCTGCATCACCCTCGTCCATGTCACAGTGTTCAATTAACTCCTGCCATGAGACACCTGATGCCCATGCTTCTAGTATGCCAGCAAACGATTTGTCCAATAGCACTGGAATCTGCACCATTCAGGAGTAGTTTGAAATAAATTGCCCATCTTGGAAATCATTTGCAGACTACTGCATAATAAGCTTTTAGTTCTAGGCAAAAAAAAAAAAAAAAAAAAAAAAAAAAATACAAATGTATAAATTGAATTGTGCACGAAGGAAAAATGGATCCAATGCATTCCTAGTAGTCACTGCATGTATAAAATGAGTAGACTTAGAGTAGGTTAGAAGTACGGTCAGTACGAATGCAAGTCAGCAGTCTGGTTAGTACGAATAAAGGTCTGTAGCGTAAGAAGGCAGGGATGCTGACCTCTACGCCATGGCTGGCCTGCAACCTTAGCACCCACTCGCGAAGATCCTCCATTTTTATGACCCAGTCTCTCACTCCTCGAGATTCACTATACTTCATACTGCAGTAACCAAATAACGTGGAAAAGAATTAATCTCAACAGAATTCTAAGAGCACTATTACATTGATTCGTACGCCACTTTGTTGTATAAACTCTGGTGTTTTTCGAAGTACTAATCCCGTGGACTAGATGAACCATACCTGGTATTTGACTTGTTACGCGTTTTCATTCCTTCTGAAACAAGAGCGCCACAAGCGGCTGCAAGCTGAGCCGGCTCCAAAGAATAAGTGGCATCTCTCGTGACTGCAAGGGTGAGCCAAAGTTCGTTTGTTCCTCGTACAACTGCTGCGGTTTCTCCTAGAGGGAGTAGAGAATTTGAGTCTGCGCTCAGTGCACCAGCTTCTTGTAGGACGCTCATGACCTGTAGCTCACGTAGATGTATTGACATTATTACATATTATCGATCAGCCAAGTTTTGTTAAGAGACTTAGCGAAGTATTAACATTCGAATGCAAATACCATAATAATGTACAAAAAAACATACATGAATCTAAAGCAGAGGCCAAAGCTTACATGCAAAAAGTCCTGCCACTCAGATGGCCGCAAGTCCTTCATCCGATTGGCAATATCAGATGCCGTGGACTTAAGGTTTGTAATCTTCTTTCTCCGTTTCTGTTGAAGGTCTAAAAGGAGCTTGTACTTCCGGTAACCCTGAGTTTGTTTAAGCTTCTTCGTCAACTTTACTACATCCTCTTTGTGGTTAGCTAACGTCTTCTCTGCATTCACCAGATCAGATGACCCCTGCAAGGTTGAAATACAACTACTTGCATTAGTATTCAATAAGAATTCTGGTTGCTTGGAAAGGCCAAGTGCAATTGTTGGTAGGTGAGTTGGTAGAGGGCTACGTGATGCAAATGACATTCAACAATACTATCAGATTAAAATAATGTCTATTTCAGTACATAAAAATTACCTGCCATTCCTTTGCAAGCTCGTGAGCCGAGGGTACTTGGCATGCCCATGCGAAGGTATCCGCTCCGCTTTCACCATTCCAAACTGCGTGACATGAGGAGGTTCCTGACTCTCCAACCTTCGCCCACACTAGAAGGCCAATCCGCAACCTCTCCCTCAAAAATGTACCAACACATTCTCCTGCTGAATTCGTGCTGGAAATGAGCAAGTTATTGTGAACAGATTTTACTGATCCTCCAGTGAACATGTACCAGTAATTATCAGACCCTAAACCCACATAATGCGAAATTGCCGAGCCAATGGCATAGCCTCCCTCTATATTTGATGCGGTTGACATGAGACCCTCATTGTCTTCGTCATCAACCAAGATTTCATCTCCTAGAAGTTCTGGTTCCTGTGGAGCACTAAATCAAGGTTTGAATTGAGAAAGCACTCCAAAAGTTTGTGTATAAGTCCAAAACTTGGATGTAGTTAATGATACATAAACTAAAGCACATTCCACGTAAATACTATCATAAGCTTAAGTATGTCTCTTGCATTTGAATATTTCAAGTCCATAATATTTCAGATCACAAGTGCGTCACCTGCGTGTCCGTCTCAACAGTTAGAGATGGAGAGCTCCCGATACAGACAACAGGCACAACACGCTCCTCGCCAGTCATTTGGTCCTTAAATTCAACGCACAAAAAGGGTAGTGGATTGTCGTCACTTCCTATAAACCGTTCTACCATTTTCTCACGTATGTGTTGCAGCTGCTGTTGGGATTTCTGGACGAGACCCTTGGCCTCCTGCAAATCCATCCGTGATACACATTCAATGCGACTGCTTCATAGATTTAAAATTGATACGCATTCAAGCAATCTAGATTAGCGTGTTCCTTCCACTTGTAATGATACTAAAACGAGGCAAGTATGGACATGCCACAAACTTCCCACCGACAAAGCAGTTATGATAAAACATTTTGCTGCAAGAAATCTAAAAGAAACCTTACCGCAACCCTCTTTGACAGTGCAGTATACTCTTGCAACTGCTTCTTGTTAAGTTCTTTTGCCAGACAGGAAAAGAAACCTTCTGAAGTAATTTCGGCTTGCAGACGCTCTATTTCCTGACGCAAGCTTGTCAGATGCTGCTGGGCTGAGACCAGGACGTCACTTCCCACAAAATTTCCGAAGGATTGATCAACGAGAGCATTCACCTCTTCTAGACTCCGTGGTCTACGTGTCATGCGAACACGCTCATCATTGTGAGATTTCTCTTCTAGAATTGCCACTCTCGGTCCCTGCAACAACAACAACAACAACAACAATAAAGGGTCGTTACCACAAAACGATAGAACACCACAAAAAAAAAATTAGAAAAACATAACGCAGATGGGACGGGTTTCTGTAACATCTGCCCTTGTATATATCACCCAAAGACGATCCTTTTGTGGCCTAGTGGTGCAATGTTTAGTATTGTTCGGAAAAAGATATACAGCCGTCATGGAGATCATCATCAGAAATAGCATACAAGAATACACACTAGATGTCAAAATATAGGGAACTCCACCTCCCAGACTTAGAAACCTTACCGCAAGGAGGTTAAGGACCATTCCGTAGGTGGTTGTAAATTGCGAAACTAAAGGTTCAGGTCCTGCAAATAGCACCTCACAGAAGTCCTCTGCACCCTCGAATGGTGTTTGCACTACCACCACATGGCCTTGGTCATCGATTCCGCGTCTCCCTGCTCGTCCAGCCATTTGCAGCATTGCATTCGAGCTTAAAAGCGCTAGCCCATCATTGCTACGTTTACTCATGGAAGAAATTACAGACGTCCTGTAATCCAAACACAATCAAGCTGTGTTAATGTCAAGGCTGTATACACTTAAATGCCGACATCTCGTTTGTGTCATTGCACTTTGTGAAAAGAATTCTTCGTCAAAACAAGAAAAAGAAAAGTATCAAGAGTTCCAAGGCAACGAGTGGATCTTTGATAAATCCGAACTAATTCTTTGATTCTTCTGCGTAAGAAGGCAATTGCTCTACATACCTTGTGGGCATATTTACGCCAGCTGCTAGGGTCTCAGTTGTGAACACTACTTTGACAAGGCCTTTCTGGAATAGCTCTTCGATAAAAGCCTTCCAGGTTGGTAGGCAGCCCGCATGATGTGCGGCTGCTCCTTGCAGAAGAGCTTTCACACTTCTGTGTCTAATGGCATCTGGATGCTGGTGCTGGTATTCTCTGAGAGCTTCTTGTACTTGCTTTACCTCATCATCGGACAGCAGGTTGCATTCCTGGTGCAAGAAAATTGCCCTTCAGTAATTTCATAATAGGATTTCACAACTTTCTGGCAATGGAATCGAATGATTTAACCGTACCTGAACGTAACTCACTGCTGCATCGCAGCCCTTGCGGCTGAAAATGAACCACATTGCTGGCAACATATCTCGCTCTTTCAATTGCATCAGAGTGTCCATTATTTTTGGGACCTACAACCAATATACTTACAGCACCAATTTAGTCATCAGAAGTTGGTGACTTGATGGTCAGCAACTTGCGCACGTATATTAAAACTGTGGACTCTATTGTCAACCAAAACAACTTACCAAAACTTGTTTTTAAAATAAAGAAAGAAACGAAAGAACTCCGAAACATTGTAAAATGTAGTTCTAAAATATAATACAACTCTGATTTCCAACGGTAAGTGTAGAGGAGTCAGAATTTTTGTGTTAAGTTTCATGTAAAGGAACATCTGTTTTCGGAATTGCAGAGAAAGCGTTTGGTTAATCGCATCAACCTGTTTACGACGAAGAAACATAAGTTGTTCTTCACTAAGCTTCTTTTCAATGTCCTTCCCTTTCTGCGTTCGGCTTTCTCCACGGTCCTTTCCTCCGAAGCCCGTTTTAGTGCGGAGAGGCGAAGGCTGATCATTCTTGTAAAGCTCTTCTCCAAAGTAATCCATAAACATGCGTTTACTCTCTTTATCATGTTTAAACTTTAGCTTCCTACAATAATTAGAAAATACATAAAAATACACATTAAAAATTTTAACAGATCGAAAAACTACAGTAGAGAATAAATCAGAGGTCAGCCGAAACGATTTGATCCACATGTTCTCAATATTAGACAGTGGAAAATACTCCAGTCAAGCTGACAAGAATCATTTAGCTCACGGATTCATAGCGGTTGATTCCTCGTTCAGTAACGGAAGCAGGGCCTGACGAGTTGAGAAGTGCCATTGAAGTGGCACGGGCCTCTTCGAGGCGGTAATTAACTGTGTAGGGCCGTGTACCTTTAAGCGAAGATCAGCACTCACTATTAGCTAACTATCTCATCTAGAGCTTGTCATTCTACGACAAGAATTGAACCCATGAGGGTAAGAGAATCGATATGAGGACTAATTATGACAACTGATGCAAATGTCTGTCAAATCTGTTACATTTCGGGCAGCCTTCAAATAAAAGGTGGGCTTCCGAGAGACTTAGTATTAGGTCGACCAAAATGAAGACAAAATTGAACGCACCTTGGTAATCCAGCCAGCCAGTTCGTCCGGATTTGCTACTGTAGCTGACAGGCAGATCAATTGCACGTCTTTCGGACAGTATATTATCTGCAAAGTTAATCATTTGTTGGTGAAAATCCATATCGTGTAGCCACAAGACTACATGATATTTTAACAAGACTGATCACATGCTTCTGAAGTACTGAGCATCACTTCGGACTTCAGTGCCACCTGACGTACCACAAGACTCCTTGCTTAAAAATTCCACATCAAGAACATTTCTAGTTATAGATAATCTGGAAGAACGAGTGTGCTACACAAGATGAAACAACCATTGAACAATAACTTTATCTGAAACCAGATCTTGAAGATATGTCCAAGTAATTCAAGTAAATCTTTGATAAACGAGTATGATCACGGAAAAGCCAAACAATAACTAAGAACATCCACGTCTACACTGCACATGTACGAATCATTAAAAATAAATATTTTAAGAGCGGTGACTAATCGAAAGAGCTCACTGTTTCCTCCCAAACAGTTCCCCGAGAAATATCGCTGAGGTAGTGCACTTCATCCAAAACAATAGCATCCACGTCCGTCAACCAGCCCTTCCCTGCGGAGCTGCCTACACTGCTCACAGCATCATTACCGATACTTAGTTTTTATTCAATTTAATGAGATGGTCCTTATCAATCACAAATAATACAGCCCTACTTGGTTAATCCTACAAGAAGATTTCTGCTCTCGGGTGGGTACCATCAAAAGAACAAAGAATTGGAGGTATTAGAAGGTTGCACCTTTCATAGAGCATATTGCGTAGAATCTCAGTGGTCATAACCATGATAGGCGCCTTTCTATTCACCACTGCATCTCCTGTGAGCAGTCCCACATTGTTTTCTCCGAAAGTCCCTCTGCAAGAACAAATAAATATGAGATTCAATCACGGAATTTTAAAACATGAAACTATGTCGAAGTGAGGAGTAGAAATCCGAGTGATCCAATTCACACTTACTGAAACTCACGAAACTTTTGATTCGACAGAGCCTTCAAGGGAGTGGTATACAGAAGCCGCTTTCCTCTTGCTAGGATTGCTGCTGCAGCAGCCTCAGCAATGAGAGTTTTACCGCTGCTTGTTGGAGCACATACAACCAAAGATGAACCCTCCAGAAAGCTTGTGACACCTCTTTCCTGCAACAGAGTGCATAAGTTTACCCACTCTGTTAGAAACACATTAGCGACAGCCTCAGCAAATGCATTACTCCACGTAGCGAAAACATATCACGTGAAGGGCAGTGAATAAGGCATAGAGGTTTAGACGAAGGAACGTGGAATACAATCCGAATCTTTTGGGATTAGGGGAATTGCTCTGTAGTACATATTGCCCAAGATTATTCGTCTTACTTTTGCGTCAAACCAGAAACGTATTTGAGAGAATGCCGAAAATACAGAGAATTCTAAACATTATCGCACCTGGAAATTGTCCAAGGGAAAGTCATACAGAGACGCAACGTCCTCCAACGACAATTCTCGGTCGCGTACTCGTTCCCGAAACTCCTGCATCCTGTCCCGCCCTGTCTCTCCCTTGCCAACGTCGCCATCTCCGCGCGCAGAGTCACCAAACACTAAAACACCCTGATTCTCACTAGCATACGACTTCAATTTCCAGTCCTTAATCACACTTTCACTCGAATCGATGCTTGTCTGTATCCCACTCCACCCAGCGTCCACTAACAGTAACTTGAAGATTATCTTCACATGCAAACGAACAGCACCAACCCCATGAGCTGGCCCGCCTACGGAAATTGGAGCTGAATGCTGCCTTCTCGCGACGGTTGTAGAGCTTCTCCTGAATGTAACTCCGCGCGTTTGAACGTCAAATGGCGATACCAGCAACGCAGCCTGGCGTGTGATCATGGACATCGCCATAGCCAGAGTAGGTGACTTCTGGCAACAGCGACTACCTAGTTCCTAGCAGAGTCAGCGACTCTGCCACAAGACCTACTCGCCCATCTGCAAGGAGAATCTACAATATCCTAGAATCTAGAATTACTTTCGTTTGAGATTAACCTTTCAGAATGTCGCCATGAACCTCGCTGTTCATTGCGAAAGTGGAGGGCCATGACAGGCATTGGCGGGCGGGGCGTGCAGCATTTGTACCATTGCGGCATTCTCCTGTTTACATGAGTGTGGGTGGGCATTTATGTGACGAGGCCGGGCAATAATTCTCCGGGTTCTTGTGATGGACCAAGTGCCGAACAGGTTATGTTGGTGAGGGGTGCTGGTGAGGATGGCATTTCTATTGCACCAAGGACTAAATACGGTATGAGGAGTTGGGGAGTTTAGACCGGGTTGAGACAGTTGGGGTTTCCAAAGGTGGAGAAGATGATGTGGGATGTGACAATGGAGAGGTGCAGGCAGCTGAAGACGCGGACGAAAAGTAAAGAATTGGTGATGATCGCAGTGATACTGGGTTTGTGCTTAGGGTGGGCAGAAATTGCTTCTGCGTTGGAAGCGCAAATTTTGCTCGATTTCAAGTCTGCTGTCAGCGACGGAAGCGGCGAGCTTGCCAACTGGTCGCCGGCCGACCCGACACCGTGCAATTGGACTGGAGTGCGATGCTCGTCGGGTGTGGTGACGGAACTCAACTTGAAGGATATGAATGTCTCAGGGACCGTGCCGATTGGCTTGGGTAAGGAGCTAAACTTCCTTTGCTTCACTTCCTCTTCTTTGACACAGCGGACGTTACACCGTCGAACATCGTCTCCCAAAAAGTACGAGAGGCGCACTGTCGGAGAGATGGTAGGGGACGGAGTTTGCCTCGTCTGTGTGCATTAGAAACTGCATGCTTTTGAGGTACACGGCCTGAAACTTGAGAACAGAAACGTTTTATTTGTAATGCATATAGCCGAGACACATTCCATTTCCTGTTCATAACCTACAGCAAAGCTTCTCAAGTGACCTATACGTGAAATTTGAAGTAGTCGGTCGCAGCTTTATGGCTACGGGCAGAGTAATCATGGATTCATGCACACTCCTGCACTTAATCAACCTCTTGGAGCTTAGACATTGAGTAGCTTTTTGATATGCAACTGCATGTTCATATTTCGTGCTCAACATACTCTGAGACCAGCCTTATACGTAGTTGCCAAGATTTAACCAACGCGGTCCTTCAGGATTTGTACTGTACTTAATGTCGAGGAAGGTGTGCCACGCTACTGCGCACAAGCTTGAACATGCTGAACATAGCTACTCACATCGAAACTGTTGTTCGAAAACTTGTTCAGGAGGATTAAAGAATTTAACAAGCTTAGATTTCGGAAATACGTCGCTTCAAGGTCCAGTTCCAACCGATCTTCTCAACTGCACCAACCTTGTCTACCTCAACCTAAGCAACACGTACATGGAAGGCCCTCTTCCGGAAGGAATCTCAAACTTGAAGCTACTTCGAACCCTGGACTTCTCCTACTCCAGTTTCAGTGGCCCCTTGCCAGCATCGTTGGGCGAGTTAATATCCCTCGAAATCTTGAACCTGGCTTTAGCTAATTTCTCTGGATCACTACCCTCAAGCCTTGGTAACCTACTAACTTTAAAGGAGATTTTCTTGGGCGTTGCAAACTTCACCCCTGCTCCAATTCCCGAGTGGTTTGGAAACTTCACAGAACTGGAGGTGCTTAAGCTGAACAGTATGAACTTCACGGCTAGCCCACTACCATCTTGGTTAGAGAAGATGCCCAAGTTGCGAATAGTGGACCTCTCGTATTGTAACTTGGTAGAAAGCATCCCGTCCTTCTTGGGTCTCCTCGGAAACCTCGAGACGCTCTTTTTGAAACACAATACCCTGGGCGGCACTATTCCAGAGATCTTCGAGAACCTGACTCGCCTTTCATCACTCGATCTGTCGGAGAATAATCTCATAGGAAGTATTCCCAAGTCTCTGACGTCAGCAACTAATTTGAATACCATACAGCTTTATTCAAACACTCTTTCAGGAGAGCTACCTGCAGATTTGGGTAACCTGAAGCGTCTAGCCCAAATTGACGTCGCTATGAATAACTTGAGCGGTGCGATACCTGCGTCTGTTTCAAATTTAACCAATCTCATCAGGCTACATCTCTATGATAATAATTTCGAGGGACAGATCCCCCCTGGGATCGCTGTCATTACAGGCCTCACAGAATTTGTGGTCTTCGCAAATCAATTCACGGGCGAGGTTCCTCAAGAACTCGGCACAAATTGCATCCTTGAGCGGTTTGATGTCTCAACTAACAGTCTCTCCGGGAATGTACCCCCCAACCTTTGCAGCGGACAAGCCTTGAGAGAATTGATCTTTTTCAACAACAACTTCACAGGTCCAGTACCTGCTGCTTATGGGAACTGTCAAAGCTTGGAAAGGGTGCGATTCGAAGGCAACAAGCTGTCAGGAACAGTTCCAGAGGGTTTATGGGGCCTTCCCTTGGTGGAGATAATTTCAATACAAGAAAACAACTTGGAAGGCATTATGTCCAGCAGTATCGGAGCTGCACTTAATCTGGGCGAACTCAAAATCCAGAACAACAAGCTCAGTGGTCGTCTTCCTCCTGACCTAGGGAACATTACATCGATTCATAGAATCGACGCATCAGGGAACAATTTCCACGGTGTTATTCCTCCAGAATTGAGCCGTTTGAATAACCTGGATACGCTCAATCTCGCTGGAAACTCGTTCAATGGATCAATACCATCTGAGCTGGGAAAATGTAGTAACTTGATTCAGCTAAACCTTTCAAGGAATGAGCTTGAGGGCGTCATTCCCGCGGAGCTGGGTCTTCTTGTCGATCTTAATGTGCTAGATGTGTCGCACAACCACTTGTCGGGGAACCTGCCCTCAGAGCTCTCCAGCCTTCGCTTCACAAACTTAAACGTATCTTACAACAACCTTTCCGGTATTGTGCCGACAGATCTGCAACAAGTGGCAAGCATCGCCGGTAATGCAAATTTATGTATCTCAAAGGATAAGTGCCCAGTGGCCAGTACTCCAGCTGATCGACGTCTGATTGACAATAGCAGAATGATTTGGGCTGTGGTGGGAACCTTCACTGCGGCGGTGATCATTTTTGTCTTGGGATCATGTTGCATTTGCAGGAAGTACAAGCTATTTTCACGGCCATGGAGGCAGAAGCAACTTGGCTCTGATTCATGGCACATAACGTCATTCCACAGGATGTTGATTCAAGAAGATGAATTTTCAGACTTGAATGAAGACGATGTGATTGGAATGGGTGGATCTGGCAAGGTATACAAAATTCTTTTGGGGAATGGACAAACTGTTGCTGTAAAGAAACTTATAAGTTTACGCAAGGAAGGATATCAATTGGATAGCGGATTTAAAGCTGAGGTGAGCTCTATGTATAAGCATCGCGGTTTTTTTTCTTGGCTCAAAGACTGAGCTAAGATTGTCAGGTTGTAATTCTTCACTCGTGAAACTTGGATTTAAGCCGCAGTTAGAACGCTCATGTACTTGAAGTGTCACCTTGTATTTGACTAGAAGTTAAGGACGATTTTCTGATTTTTTTTATTCAAATACTGTGTAGGTGGAGACACTGGGTAACATACGCCACCGAAATATTGTCAAGCTTCTGTGTTGCTGTTCTAACAGCAATTCAAACCTGCTAGTCTACGAATTCATGACAAATGGCAGTGTAGGTGACATTTTGCATAGTACGAAAGGAGGTACTCTAGACTGGAGCTTGCGTTTGAGAATCGCCCTTGGCACCGCCCAGGTATTGAAATTTAAGCCGAATGATTGACAGTAGTGTCAAATGGATGAATCGGCCTCAAGAATAGTGGAAGATTTGGCTGATCTCTCCCATTAATTCTGTTGTTGTATCGTTTATTTTATTTTCAACAACAGCTAGAGACATGGACTGGGTACTTAAATGAGAAATCCAATTCAGCAGACCGTTGGATGCAAGTAACCTCATGTGATTTTGGATTTGCAGGGATTGGAATATTTACACCATGACTGTGATCCTCCGATTACGCACAGAGATATCAAATCCAACAACATTCTACTTGACTGTGATTACCAGGCTCATGTTGCTGATTTTGGCCTAGCTAAAGTGCTTGAATATGCAACTGGGGATCTTGAATCCATGTCACATATTGCTGGTTCGCATGGATACATTGCGCCAGGTAATCCTCATAACTTTGTAACTCATCTTCTTTTAATTTCTCACCATCTTTCGCCCTTAATGCCCTGATATTCAAGATATTACGTAGATTGTCTGCACGATTCACGAATACGCTATTGATGTTAGCACAAAAAAAAATTTGTCAATTATCTGTAAGAATTGATCATTTTGTCTATATATCGTTAGTTTTACAACTTTATAATAATGATTTGCTCTGTTTCTGGATTGTCAATGATTTTGCCGACTTCCAGAGTATGCCTACACGTTGAAAGTTGGTCAAAAAGGTGATGTTTACAGCTTTGGCATCGTTCTTCTTGAGCTTATTACTGGTAAGCAACCAACGGACCCTTCTTTCAGTGAAGGAGTGGACCTTGTGAAATGGGTGAACATAGGCCTACAAAGTAAAGAAGGCATCAACAGTATCCTTGATCCTCGTGTTGGATCCCCTGCTCCCTACAACATGGATTCCTTTCTGGGAGTGGGTATTTTGTGTACAAGCAAGCTTCCCATGCAGCGTCCATCAATGCGTGAGGTCGTTAAAATGCTGAAGGAGGTGGCCCCAAATATAGAACTCTAGTTAAGAAAACATGTCCTCTCCAGTATTTCTCCCCAGTATGCAGGGCATGCACTATTAGTGTAACACTCTGCGCATACTCACACCCGAGCATCTACACAAGGAAGATTTACAGAGTTTCCTCCCTTACCTAAGATTGAAGCAGGGTTGTGAATATTGTGCGAAGTAGGACCGTCTCGGATGCTTCTTTTGCCTAGAAAGTTGCCGTGTGTAAGTTAATTTGTTGTTGTTGTTACTATAAGGTGCACTAGCTGCATCAAGAGGAGGTACCAGATCTCATGCTTAGATGTGGTTGTTACAAAGAAGTGCAGATCATCGAAGATAATGTATGACAGTAGACTGAAATCATGCATCACTGGCTGTTTGCATGATGTGAATTCGATGTAGCAATATTGTAGAGGCTCTAATTTGAGAGGTGAAAGAACCGAGACTGTCGCAAGGGACCGGTGTGTCCCAATTGATGATTTGTGTAGTATATCTGACTAGTACTGTTCAATCTTTTACTTGGATCGTTATAGGCTCTTTTGCAGCAGGAACAATCTCTTCTTCCTCTTAGTTCATATGATACGGCTCCAGACGAGTATCAACAGTAGACGATTCTATGATGCTCTGTCAGCTGGTAAGCCGATATCATGATCTTTATCGATCTCCTCGCTCGATCTCAAATCCAAGCAATTTTGCAGTTCAGACATCTAAACAATTGGAAATGTACCTTGTCGGTTTTGGGATACTCGACCGGTAGCTTCACTATTGCACTTTCTTGAATCCGACAGACAAAGTTTCATTTGTATATATACAAAGCCTCGCTCTGTCATATAAGACGAAGTTAAACTATCTACAAGTGTCTGTGAAGTCAAGTGAGTAATAACCTTTAGAGTGTCAGAAAAAGTTACGTATCTCTGGATTGAGACCTTTTCCGCACATTCTTCAACTGCAGCTTCAAGCACAAACCCATAGTTTCTAAAATCAGTAATAGAGATAAATGTGATGATAATTGATATTTGCTCCTCTCCAAGTCAATGCTAGTTTGATGCATTTTCATGTACACTGAGGATTAAGCGCCTACAGAGTGAGAGCATTGTTTTGTGGACTCATACTTCTTGTGTTTGATGCTACAAACACTTTATTTCGCACTAAAGTATGAAGAATAATCAAACAACGTACAAATCTCAGGATTGTCACACATGATACATTCATTACCATTCCAGGCACACCAATCCCGAATTCAAACTTACATATCAGAAACCAGATATTATCCACAAAGACTTCACAAATACAAACATTTTTTATTTCGTTTTTTTAGACTTCTATTCTCTCATGCACACAACATTTTGATGCCGTGTGCATTGTACAAAAAAAATAATCCATACATGTATTTACATACACATCAATAGATGCATAATCTCTGAGATGGGTACCTCAAATCACCACAATAGAAGCTAAACCCCAAATGGCTATTATCCCCTTTTAGAAAGGTGTAAGCAAAAGCACATGGGATGTGTGATCCACAACACAGTGCGTAGATGACAAGCCAGAGAGTCGGCATTGGGATCATGGGGGAAGTGATGGGGGCTCCTCATCCCAAGAGCCGTGGAAGGACTCTAGGCTTTTAGGCTTTGGGATGTGAGACTTTCAGGCTTTGGGACTTGAGGCTTTTAGGCTTTGGGACTTGAGGCTTTCAGGCTTTGGGACTTGAGGCTTTCAGGCTTTGGGACTTGAACCAGAGCTTCCAGAAGCAGAAAGAAAAGCAGGAGAGAGGGTCTCCCTGGAGTTGTTATCATTGTCCAGGGGTCCCATCCCTCCTTAAAAACAAATATTCATAAATTCAGAATTCAAAAATAAAATAAAATTAATGACATCCCGGGGGTATTACTCAAGCATGAGCCATTGTTTTAACTTCAACCCTGAAAGTTAATTTTATTTGCTGCCATGTTGTACAACTTGATTGTGATATTTGATGGGTGACATGCACTTTGTGTTGTGAAAGTCTAACCTTGGGTTTTAGAAGTTTATGGTTTCTGAGACTGTGGAAAACTGTTATAATTAATAAATTAATCCGTTGTTATAATTTTTTATTATTATTATTTTAATCTGAATGGGAACATCAATCGGTATTAATTCATGATGTCTTAATTGCTCTGCCATGGATGTGAGGGTTTTCTACATGATTTGATGTTTGTCAGTGCATTTTTTTGATGTAGTTAGTAAATTTTTGAATTAAATAAACATTGCAAATTTTATATATTTGCAATGGTCAATTGGCATTGATGTACAAATGTAATATATTAGTGGATTTAGTACATGTTTGATTTAATTCTTTGTTTCTTTCTCTTACGGTCACTTCACATTATGGTTGTTTGGTTGAGTGGATCTTGGAACCCTCTACTTGAAATATCTTTTATCTATATCTATAAGATTGTTGACGTTGTGTACTGGCATGGTATACAAGTTAAATATATTTTATTAGATTTAACATTATAATTGATGTAAAAATTTAACTAGTCATGAAATCATACAAATAATTATATATATATATATATATATATATATATAAAATCCAAAAAAGATAAAATAAATTCTTATATTATATTCAAAAAAAATTATTTATTAATTTTAAAGTAAAAGTAGAAAATATTACCTTGTATAGGATATTACCTTAAGTAAGTTGCTAATAGTCAAAGGTTTGACTCTTGGTATATGGTAAGGGCATCCAATGGATATAAGACGAAGTCATGGACCAAGAGTCAAAGTCAAAAGGATAAAGTATTAACAAGGGAATATCCAAAGACTAAGTATGAGTCATTAGTAAGTGTCATAGGATACCCTCGAAGTTTGTGAGATGCCAAAGGATCCTAAGAACATGTGTGTAAGACGTAAGAGTAATTAGTATTCGACATAGGATACTCTTGGGACTCGTGAGATGCCAAAAGGATCTTAGGGCCATGTCTGTAAAAGTCAAAGAGTGGAAGTTGTCTTTTAGGGCAGCAACTTGTCAAGGACAAGAACTCGATGAAAAAACAATTCAAACAAGTGAGCATTCACTCAAAGAGAGGTAACAAAAAATATATAAACAGTATATATATTGAAAGAGAAACTGGAATGGCTATTGCCAAAAGACAAGAAAACTAGAGATCCTTGAAACAGACTAGAAGCAAGAAAGGAGTTGACAAGAGTGAAGAAGCCTTCACTCTTGTCTCTATATATACTCTCTAACTAGGGGCTACGTGGCGACGTTCTATAGGACCTCCAATATGTGTTGACTTTGTAGGGCACATGCCTTGACTTACAAGGCAAGTTTTTCTACGTGTGGACCACATAGTTAGCTTAATCTTCAAGCTAACAACATGTGTGGCACATGGCCAACTTGTTGACCACGTTTCTAATCCAAAAAGTCAATTAAAGACACCTATGAAGTCAAAGCAGCGTCTAGGAAATTTCTAAGAAGCTTTTATATTAAATATTATAGAATTAACTTACTTTTACCTACTTTTACTTATTTTTACCTATTTCTATATGTAATTATTAGCTTACATGATTATGGCCGTGACATTACCCCCCCTTCTAGGGACGAGTTCCACGAGGAGCGGTCATCATATGTTGAGGAAATCTATGATGTGACGAACTGTATTCGCCACATACTCTGATCTCTGTTCTCTTCGAAGATGATTGATAGGGCCTCTCAACCATCGGTAGTGTCCCATATCAGGGCGGGAAGACCACCCAGTTATTTGATCATTGTTGAGGCCTTCGTAACTTCCTTCGAATAGAATATTTGGAACACCATCAGGAGTTGTTCCTACCTCTAGCAAAATCATCAAACATCGGGAGTCCCTTCCCAAATCGTGATACCAAATGCGTTGTATCTCACCATCTATTCGAGGAAGAACATGTCGTTCTTGAAGATCTTCATCTCGATTGCGTCGTCTTCAAGGTTGTGACAATCGTAATGTCTCATCCGGCAGGTCAGCAAATGAAGGCTCTTGAGTTAAATCCATTGGTTGTTGGTTCTCCATCTCCTGAGCGCCACTACTACAACAAAGCTACGAACAAGAATTGAAAGTAGAATGTTATCTTGCCTAGATGTTGTTTCTTTTATAAAGAACGTTTTCATCTTGATTTTGATGGATGTCGTCGATGAAAAGCCTCCACCACCTTTGCTGCATTTGTAAGATTCTTCATTGGCTCCCATGTGCGTTTATTAATATCATATCCACGCCAATGGACAAGATATTCTATTTTATTTCGACGCCGCCTTGAATCTAAGACTTCTTCTACTTCAAACTCTTAATTATTGTCCACTTCTATAGGAGGAGGTGGAGCTTGTCGTCTTCTTGGTATGTCCATTGTCTTGTATGGTTCAAGAAGACACACGTGGAATACTAGATGGATTTTCATTGTCTTCGGTAGATGTAAACGATATGCAACTGGATTGATTTGTGCAGAAATAGAAAATGGTCCCAGCCTTCGATAGTCCAACTTATCGCAAGGACGAGTGGTCTTGATATTACGACGAAGTAGCCATACCTTATCACCCACGTTGAGTTGTGGTTGCTCCTTACGATATACATCTGCATTTATCTTTTGTCGTTCTTGAGCTTCCTTCAATTGCGCCTTCATTATTGCATGTAACTCTGACAACCGATTTGCCATATCTTCTGTTGTAGGATTATCAACTTTTGAAAAATCAAGAGCATCAAGTCGTGGATGATAGCCATAATTGGCAAAGAAAGGTGTTTGTTGCGTGGAGGAATGTACCGTATTATTATAAGCAAACTCTGCCAATGGCAGAAGGGTTATCCAATCATCTTGTTGGTAGTTGATGGTACACCTTAAATACTGCTCCAAGACTTAGTTTACGCGCTCTGTTTGTCCATCAGTTTGAGGATGGAAAGCCGAAGATAGCTTTATGTCCACTTTTAAAATCTTGAAAAGGGTCCTCTAGAATCTCGACACAAATTGAGTTCCCCTATCCGATATGATATCTTTAGGTAATCCATGATAGCGATAGATATTATCAATGAAAAGCTTAGCTGTTTCTTCACCTGTGAAAGATTTTGTATATGGCACAAAATGTGCCATCTTGGTGAAACGATCTACTATCACAAATATAGAATCATAAGATCTTGAGCTTAGAAGATCTGTGATGAAATCCATAAAAACAGAAGACCATGGTTGTTCTGGTATAGGTAATGGCTGAAGAAGTCCGTAAGGTCGATGATGAGGAATTTTTGATCTTGAACAAATATTACATGATTGTACAAAGTCTTTGACTGACTTCCACATTTGTGGCCACCAAAAATCTCTTGATATGAGTTCCAAAGTCTTATTATATCCAAAGTGTCCTGCTGCTAGAAAATCATGACGTGCTTGAAGAACACGTAAATGTGCTTCTCCTTCAGGAACATATAGGCGTCCTTCAAAATATAATAGATTATTCTTGAACTCGAACTTAGAAGAATCATGAGACTTGGAAGAATTATTTTCAATATCATGAACAAGAGGGTTTGAGGACAAAATGGACTGGATTTGCTTGAGAAAAGTTGAATCAACAGTCAATGTTGATTTCATTGCTCGGAGATGAAATTACTCCAGTTTCAAGAGGACCGTTCTTTGTTGCTCAAAAGCTGCATCTCCTTCTTTTGGTGCAAAATAAGAACGTCTAGACAATGCATCGGACAAACCTTGTTGTTTTTCTGGCCGATAAGTGATAA